GGACGACCGTGACCGTGACCTGATGGCCTACTGGCTTTCCCCGTTGACTTACATTGAGGCTGTCCTTAGACCTGGCCTGGGCCAACTTGGGCCCTCCCTCCCGGTGTTTTGGACTCCAACTCCCACCATTCCTCACGCCCAAACCCTTTTCCTTTCCTCTAAAGCGGCTGAGGGGGGAAAGGAAGGGGCCTGACGCTGTGAGGAATGGTGAGAGTTGGAGCCCAAAAAGTTTTAAATTGAATTGATTCAATGTTTTATCCATTGTAATTATTGTATTTTATGATCCAAAGATAGCCGGCATCGAATGTTTCGCTGCGATCTTGGCCAGTAGGGAATCCTTAGCCATTCTTGTAGCTTACCGTGCACGGGGGTCGCCGGGAGACAGTCCGCTTAAGCTATTAGATCTTGTTGCGGACTGGGCCCTGAGGTTCCTCAGAGTTATTGTCCTGGGTGACTTCAATGTACATGCCGAGGCACCATCATCCTCATCAGTAACTAAGGACCTAGTACTAACCTTGGAAACATTGGGGCTCTCATTAATCAAGACTCGCCCCACTCATCGGGCCGGTCATACTTTAGACCTGATTTTCTATATTGGAGTATGGACATCTTTATCGGCGGTAATTGATGTCCCCTGGTCTGACCACGCTGCCCTGAAGGCCCGGATTGAGACTCCATCCCCTCCTTCCCAAGCTGTCAAACCAATCCTTGCCCGCTCTAGAAGACTCATGGAACCTGCCAGGTTCTTGAATGCCCTTAAGGGCCTTGGAACTGTGTGCGTCACTCCCATTGAGCAAGTCAACAACTGGAACACCAGTCTGTTGGCTGCCTTGGATGAGATTGCTCCCAGACGCCACTTCCGCCCTCGACGGAATCGCTCCCCTTGGTACACTAATGAGCTACGGATGATGAAGCAAGCACGAAAGCGGCTGGAACATCGGTGGAGACGGGAACCTGACAAAGTGTCAAAGATGCTAAAAACTCATATAATTCTTCCTTAATAGCCTCTGCTAGATTGCGCCCAGCAGTTATTCAAAATCGTTCGTGCCTTGATTCATCCGGCTCCTTTAGTCCAGAACCCAACAACTATGCCTATTAATAATAATAAAAAAATCAAAATACTAATTCTGTAACATAGTATTTCCAAAAAGACCATTGAAGGAAAAAATAATAGTTTAAAACAAGCAAAATCAAGGTTTGGAAGAAAAGTGCAAGGAATGAGGATGGAAATATGACTGGAAATGAAGCCAGAAAAAAAAAGAAAAACAGTGAAATAAGAATGGGAATGATTATCAATAATAATAAGTGTCCCTCTCAGGGAGGTTCCAAATAATAATAATAATAATAATAATAATAATAATAATAATAATAATAATTATTATTATTATTATTATTATTATTATTATTATCAGATGATGGGGCTGGGGATAGATTTTTTTCAGTGAATTTAGTCTTACCCAGCCAGCCTGGATTCTGCATTTTCAAATCACTTTTTGTGTTTTAATCTTTGCTCTATATATTCGAATATGCTTTTTATAGAAATATGCTTTAATAATAATAATAATAAAAATAAACGTTATTTGTACCCCGCCACCATCTCCCGAACGGGGACTCGGTGTGGCTTACATGAGGCCCAGCCCAAACAATAATTACATAAAATCAAAGCGAAAACGCAAATAGTAAACAATAATAACATAGGGTTGTTGTAGGTTTTTTCGGGCTGTATGGCCATGGTCTAGAGGCCTACCCTGAGGATGCTTGCCATAGATGCAGGCGAAACGTCAGGAGAGAATGCCTCTAGATCATGGCCATACAGCCCGAAAAAACCTACAACCCAGTGATTCCGGCCATGAAAGCCTTCAACAATACAATAATAACATAATTATATAAAACAAATGAAAACATAGCAATATAAGATTACAATAAGCACGATCACAATAACAATGGGCAAGCTACATGTAATGGATAAAAGAAAGGCTGATTAAAAGCAGATTAAAAACTCAGGGGAGATAAAACAGAAACAGACAAATACCTCTATTTTAAAGAATGTTTTGGCCGATCGTGTGTTTTTAGCGGTGTTGTAACCTGTCTTGAGCCACGAGAGGCAGGAAAAAATAGAACTGTTACTATTAATATTACAATCTTCCTCAACGTTCATGCAAACGACACCTGCAGCAGATAGGGAAGAAGGAGAAGAAGAGGAAGTAGTAGTAGTAGTAGTATTTTTCTACCCCGCCTCCATCTCCCCAAAGGGACTCGGGGCGGCTTACATGGGGCCCAAGCCCAGGTAGAATACAATTAAAATAAAGCAGTAACAATTAAAACAGTATAAAATAGCGTAAAAACAACACAACAAAAGTAGCTAGCAACAACAATAACTGCAGACTGATTTTGGAGGGGGGCGGGAGGAAAACCACTACGTGAACTGGTTAAAGGATAAAGTGGTTTAGTAAGGTAGAAGACAGTGTGTAACAATGTAGGAAAAATCATGGAAACAGAGCAAATGAACAGGATCAGTTAATATAATATAGGAAGGACAGCTGTCTGGAAATGCTGGGTTCAGACGGGCGGTCATGAAAACCAAAGTCATACCCGAAATAGCAAAAGATGGTGATGCTGATGATTATCAAAACTTGGTATACATTTAAGAACTGAAGCATGAAAATCCAACTCGGAGCCATGTGACCAACCTAGAAGGGAAAACCATATCCAAAAGCACCAGAGGTTTCCTATGACGCTCTCGCTCTGCTTGTATTCCCAGTCTCTGATACTTTGACCCTTCTGAACCCCCTTTCAGCAAACACGCGTTTTATTAAAAACTGGAACATAGTCATGTATGTATGCATATATATACACTAACACTGGGCAGCTCATGGAGTGCCTGCCACAACTACAAAAGTATATCAGAAAGCACAAACCACGGAAACACTCCTATATAGATATACAAAGTCCACCAGAAAACGAGCAAACAGACCTGGGTCTAATTCTAAGAACCTGGCCCTTACATTAATTACTACAAAGTTGATATATTTCTAATTAAGAAAATAAAACCCCTTGTGATGAGCAAACCACATCGAGCGGCTATAGAGGAAACCACAAAAGAATTGTATATACAAAAAGAGTATATGAAACCTATCTCTATATATTATTATATTATATATATTGAAAATCTTATATGGGATTGGTTTAACCTCTGGTTTGGACTGGATGGCCCTTGTTGTCTCTTCCAGCCCTACAATTTTATGCTTCTATGTCTGTATTCTCAACCACATTATTAAAATTTTAGGTACTTTTAACTTACTTTAAATGATAAAGATAACAACAGAATTATCTCTACTCCAGTTTTTTTTTTTTTAAAAAAGTGAAATGGAAGGGCTTTGGATTTTCTAATTGGTAGGATGTAAGATACAAAAGACTCTGGCACCTGCTAAGTCTATGGCTTTCAAACTTTGCTAAGATTAACAGAAAGGACAAGAGGTTGTGCGAAAGAATAGAGATAGATTCTGAAAAGGGGGGTATAAAGTACTTATTCTATACCATAAAGGATAAAGTAGGTTCAA